TAATATATATATATATATATATATATAATATGAAAGAATATCGTTATTTCTTCTTTATTTTAAATATTTTATTCCTCTTATCATTTTCTAAATTATAACATTGAGGTTACTGCTATTGTGTCTGACATTCAGAACTTGCGATACAGAGTTTGGTATAACGGCATCGATTGTGCTTTGAGTCTAGTCACCGGTTCAGTAAACCTTGGCAGTCTGAGTTGCTGTCACCTGTAGTTGCCTCAACCATGGCTATTTTTACGCGGACACCTATACTTAGCCTTCTTTAGCGTTGTCTTACGATCGTGGCACCGCGTGATGAGGTTCGTACTTAATATATATTCGTTAATATTCATTCTAGATGAATGAAGCATAAGTGGACATAGAACGGAAACGATTAACTTTAACATACAACAAATTGCGAAGAGAACTGTACGCAAAATCGAGGAAATATTGGAAGAAACATTGCCTGTTAAATAAAGTTTCCGCCTTGGAATTAAACGCGGCTTCGCTGTTGTGGTCGATCTCGAAGGGAAGATCGCCAGGAAACGGCGAAATGGAGCGACACTTCGGCCACGACAGCGAAAAAAGCGACGTCCGGGAATGATTTATCGTTTGTAATAAACTCAAAATAGGTATTTACATAATTTACGGAAGTACGCAACGGTCGTTATGCGTCGCGTATTTTTGCATTAAGCAGCGTGAGAAGTTCGAAATTACTCCTCATCTCTTGGCCGTAAGTCGCGACTTCTCGTTTACGATTTTCAGCTGCTGAAAACGCGAATTCCTCTAAAATAATTTCATAATTTCGATAAATAACATGCACAAGTGTTTCGATATGATCTATCTGTTCTCTCGCTGATATATTTTGTCGAGCGTTCGTATTTTCAGATCGTTCTGTAACTATCGGAAATCGAAGTTTCCCCCAAACTACACCGTTCATTGCGATGCAATAATATCAAATATTATAACAAAGACTTCGAAATGTACATATAAAATTAATAAAATAATTTAAAACTTTAAGTTACGTCTCTCTCTCTCTCTCTCTCTCTCTCTCTCTCTTCCTTTCTTCTCCTCTTTAAATGTTAGGGAAACGAATATATTACTAAAAATTATCAGTTGTAATGTTTGCTCAACATAAATCTGATTTTCTTTTAAATAAGTGTTTTTGGTCAAGGAAAATATAAGGAATCGCATGCTCTGCCTCTCGCGGTTCTCTTTCACGGAGAAATCTGAAATATGAATTGCGAATTATTTTCGCGTCGATCTAATAATAATTTCGCCCCGCGAAATATCGCGGTGGGAACGAGCGACGCCTGCTTTTCCTCAAACGCCGCGTCGAAAGGACCTCATAATTTACGAGTGTCGGGCCTATTTTCGGCAGGTAGCAAAGGCGGCGTGTGGCGACTGTGGCGGCGACGGGCCGACCACCAACATACATCGACGTACTGGAGATTAGCGGCCACGTTTAACTGCAAATTGAGCGCGGCGAAAGCACGGCGAGTTTTCGCGGAATCCGCGACTCTCGGCTCCGCGACGAGCCCGAGCGAGTATTTTCCTGCGAGGCCCCCCCAAGGCCGAGGGAGCCGCAGGGGTGACGTAAGGCCACTATTATTAATGCGGCTCTTGGCTCGAAAATAGGTTGGGCCAGTTATCTTGGTAATCGGTTATTATGTTTGGCATCTAACTGTGGAAGCCGCGTGCATTTCGGGTCGCGATACAATCCCGTCGGATGTAATATGTTCGCGCGCAAGTACGGACAATCGTTCCTTTGAGGCACCGCAGGCACCGCGCGACGCCTCCAAGTGCCAGAAGTGTCGATTCGCTTAGGCGATCGCCAGCTACGTGGCGAGATCGTTTTTCGCGTGACGTATCGAATGACGCGACTTGACGCACGATGACACCAAATCTCTGCACCTGTTTTTCTCTTGCAACTTCGTTGCATATATATATATATATGATAACGTCTAAACGACAAAACGTTTTAATTAATCGGTGAAAAATCCAGACACAAGAAAATATTGTTGTATTAGTTAAAAGTCCTTTGAATTTAAATAGGATTAACCGAGGAGTGACAAAGTCAGATGTAAGAATTTTAATTAGTATACAATTTATTTATCTGCTTGAGTCAGCTGTGAAATAATTGATGTAGAAACATTTTAGCTTTCAACCATAATTGGTTGTTTGATAACTATACAGATAGTTTCTTTGAAAATCTATATCTGAATGAATGTGATGGGATGATATTACAGATTTAAATGAACTCCAACAACATCGTATAATTTTTAACAAATATTATAAATAAGATAATTATAGAACGCAAAATAATATGTTACGACATTTGATTGAGTAGCTTCGCGAGTGTTGGCGATAAGTGACAATCGTTTCAGAAGAATATGAATTCGTTTCGCGTGACGTGTGCCGGGAAAAGGCTGCCAAGTGCAAGGTAGGCGTTGGGACACGAGGCGATATCCTTCCGGTAACGTGAGATTCGCATAATTGGTCAGTTGCCACCGCTCGAGCCGCAAAATTGTGAAACAAATCATCCGATTATGTTAGCTCCAGCCAGGCGATGGAAATATGATACGCCTGGCTGCTTCGCTCGCGCTATCTCAAGAAGTGCCAGACAAACAAGTTACAACGCAAATGAAAAGAAGTACCATCAACATAATATCAATGTTAAGCACGTTGCATACAACGTCAGAGATGTGAAAAGATTAAATGTTTTAGAGATTTGTTCTTTTTTTTTTCTTACAAATAAAGACAGAAACGAACGAATTCTGCCTGATTTCTTAATTTGATGAAATCAATACGAAATAAATGATGAATGATAAATGGTAGATTTTCTACGTCGATTTTTATAATCGCAATAATCCGAAAAGATGATGCGGCGTCGATATATATTCTATGACTACAGTGGTTGATCTTCTTGGACAAGACCGAACAGATGCGAGGGAGAGCTTAACAGACCGACGAAATGGCACACAAAACGGACGGGCCGAGTATTACAACGTCACAGTAAGACTTGGCAAGTGGCCTCCATATGCATTCCCAAGATTACTGCACTTCGTAACAGCACGTTCGCATTCCACCTCTTTTGCCCGTTCGCTCCATAGTTGTCATCTGACGGTCTTTCGGATATAAAGGAGAAAGAAAAACGTTGGCCAAATATATATAAAACTACACTTAAAAGAATTAATTTTGAAATCACAACTTGACTTAAACACACACTTAAGGAAAATGTTGTTATATTAATTTTCCTGTTAATTTAAAAAATGACTAATTTAATCTGGCTTTCTTAATTCTTATTAAAAGAAGTATCTTTTTCTTAGTAAAAAAAAAATATTTAAATTTATAATACTCGCATGTTTAAAATATTAAGCTTGTTTCTTTTCCACTTATAAATAATGTCGATGCAAACAGTGCCTGTAGTTTAAGCAATTTGTTATTTATATTAAAAATCAGATTAATTTTAGAGATGCACTTCTTGTGATGTTTTTTCTTAGAGATGCTCTTTTGATAAGAAAATTATTTATACAGAAAAGAAAATAATTAAAAGGTTATAAAATTACATTGTTGTTTTATATATCATTAATTTTTAAGTAAAGCAAAACGATAAATTTCCGAATCCTTATTCGAGGAAATATAGATCGAGAAATATGTCATTTAAATTTTCGAACATGTCGGCACGTTGTATGTGAGAAAATGTCAGCATCCGACTGACCTAATATTTTTGCTGGCTATATAGAAAGCATTGCTTCACTTTGGCATAATCCTGCCGGCTATTTGTGATACAATACATGACACTGTGACTCAATAAAAAAGTAGCACATTGCCATGAGATAGTATAATAAATGCTCCGAGGGAAGAAAATTTGACTGCCTAGCAAATAGTTACAATTAAAATGATTGCCCTCCGCTGCGATTTACAAAATACATACATATGAAACAACAAAGATCGAGAAATAAAAAAAGCATTACGAAGATCCACGCATTATAATTAAAAAGATTAAGACATAAGGGATAAAGAAAATACAGACGGAAAGACGGTAACGAAGACCAGCATAGTGTGAGCTGTTAAAATTTCGTCTCGTGACGAAAATGAACATTCAATGAGTCTTTGACATTGAACCAGCATTGTTAAAAAGGCGCAATTACTTTTGGCACAGCTCTGAGCCACGTGCGTCGTGCAAAACAATCTCCTTTTTTCACCGTTATGAGTTTACGAGATATATTCATGTGATTGCTCTGACGCGTGAAACAATCATTAAAATTTTTATCCGTCTAGATGCATTTGTATACTATAAATAAAAATTGCTACGCCCAACAATGATTCTTGATATACCGCATCTATTTTCATCGAATTAACTGAATCACTTAGTCGTGACTAACGGGCTTGTTGTTACTGCTTCACTTTTAGGAATCATGTGAAATGAGTAATTTCTGAAAATGTTTAGTAATCTATTTTCTGCCATCCAAATGATTAATAATTTATTTTCTGTATCCAAATGATTTACTTCTTACGTAACGTAGTTATTTTAACGTAGTTATTTTAATAAATAGAATACAGCTACTAAAAGAAAAATTGCAATTGCAAGACAGAGAGAAAGAGACAGAAAGTATAATAATGTCCTTTATAAAGATTTATAATTAAGGTTTTAAAAATATTTTAAATGCCATTTTCACTACTGAAACATTGCTGCAATCAATCAAATCTGACTCTCGAGTAAAAAAAAAAAACATGAGTTATGATAATATTTCTTAGATTACATTTCTTGCAATAATTAAGGGTTTTTTTTTATTTCAACATTGACTTTCGGGATTTGTAATTCGAGATTTGTTATTTAAAGAAGCTTTTGTCACACGGTGATGATTCATTTCTCAATAATAATCCAAGGTGAAGTCACATCCGGAACTAAATTCTATTCGTGAGAGTTATAATTACTAGTCGTACGATGCATTTTCGCGGGCGCACTCTACCATGCCTATACTACTGACCGCGTTACTTACGACGCACCGCGATCTATTTTCGTCGACTGACTCAAACGAGTCGTTGGCGATACTAAAATCACCGATCGACGTCCCGATCTATCCGATAAAACGCGAGAAATCCTGTAAACAAGCGTTCGCATCCGTACTTTTTGGCAAAACGCGGCGAAACGTCCGATCGCAAAACCAGATTAAATAACGTCACGATGATGAAAGATTTTGCTTGGCCCGTTCATAATAACAACATTATTAAATTATTTGCCCGATGGCAAATAAAAAGAAATAAGAATTGTATATAATTTTTATAGTAGATAAATAACAAGTAGATAAATAACAAATATAGCTGTGGCAAAAATTAAGACAATTGGAGCAACAGAGTGAGTGATTTAAAAAAATTCAAGTAAATAAATTTAAAAATGTTATGCAATTTTTGTTGATCGAATTAAAATTCGGTATTAGTGGAATGCACGATATGATAATAAAATATATGAGAGTTATCTAATAATTGTTCAACTACTTAATATAGCACATAATATTAAAATGAGTGAGGGTCAAGGATATACGTTGTTTCTTAGATTAGCTTTTCGTATTAGTTATTCCCATCAGCCTTCAACAGTTAGCCTTGAATAAATGAAATGGGGTTGCTAAATCTAAGAGAGAGATACCTATATACCAGAAGTCTATAATATTATTACAATTATTATTAAACAATTTAACACAAAATAAATAAGAATTGTTACATTAAAAATGTATATTCTTGGATTCTATTGGCAGCAGCATTTATTATTTTATTGAAATTGAAGAATTAATACTATATTTTATATATGACTTTTTCCTTGATTTCTTATCAAAAATTATATTGACATTGATTAATTACGCGCAAAGAGAAAAGTAAATTTGTCGGTTCAAATCATTGGCAAACACCGCCAAGAATAATATATTAATTACGTTATACTGACTAAATCTGATGATCAACAGATGAAATAAATGGCTTGGCCGATAATGGAATAATGTCGACAATACGTCCAAAAGTACATCAATGTATATATATATATATATATATACATACACATATTGAATGATTATTCCATTAGAATGTTACACATCAAATTTAATTCTAAAGAATGTTTCCAATAAATTCTACCTCTAATAAACTATTTGATCATGAAATAATTTCCGGGCCAACTTTACGAAAGATATTCAGAAGAATTCAAAAGAAACAATTTAAGAAGAATTTTTGTAGATTTAGATAAAATCACTGATACTTGAAATGTTTGAAAGCAATATCAAATAACATAATTCTATAAAGATTTGAAAAAAAATTTTTTCATAAATATGATTTAGCTAAAAAATATTTTCCATTGTAAATGTTCGTGAAATTAAACTTATTGTTCAATGTTGTTGCTAACACTTTTATAACAAAACTATTGAGAAAATTAATAATAGAACAAATATATATATATATATATATATATATTCTCATACATACATATTTTATGTTTAAATCAAAATTCCTTAGCTATTTAATTAATAAATAAATTAATAATTATATACGTTACACATTTAACATTAAGTTGGATAAATGGATTTCACACTGAGTAAAACAAAAATTCCAAAAATAAATAAATTAACAATATTTCTAGCAATATTTAACAGTATACTTAATATTTACAAAATTTAATATCGCATTTTTTTATGATTTTTTTCGCGGTGCAAATATCGATATACCTTTTCTTCGTGTTCAGCCAACTCCGAATTCGTCGAGTCTTGTGGAATTCACGGTATGTGGGATATTTTTAAATCAATCCAACATTCTGGGCTTCGATCACTAAGTCGAAAGGAAGAACTATAGAATTGTCTACAACAATTGTCTACAACGACAGCGAAAAAAACTTTTGTAAAATAAATATGCCATTTTCGAAATTTCTATATAAAGTTAACCGAATTCTTTTTCTCAAAAGATTATAAAATTTCTACATTGTATACATAAAAGTATTTTTTCATTAAGTAATAATCAAGTATAAGTACAAATATAAGCAATTTATAAGTTATTATAATGAACGCGGAGAAAGTGACAGAGAGAATGCAGAAAACTGATTTGTTAGCAAATCAAGATTAAATATAATAACAATATATTTAAATATTTTTGTAAAGAACGATTAGAACGACAATTAGACGAAATGACGTGGGAAGAAATGGGCCGCAAGACAACATTGTGTGTACGAAACTCCTATTAGTGCCTCTCAAAATTAACGCATAAATATGACTTATGAAACATCGAGGAGAGGAAACTCGGCGACAAGATGAAGTGGCAAACGATGCGTTAGACAATGTGTCGGACGGCACGGTGACGTGAAGATGGACGGAACGACGCATGGAACAACGACATGAGCGAAAAGATGGAGAAACGACGAACCGCTCCTCACGTTACGCCTTCCTAAAAATAAGTGGACTCCGAGCCTAGATACCTAGATAGTAGTCTACGAATAGTCGCCGCCGCCGCGACGGAACTTGTGGCGATTAGTCATGTGAAGTAGGACCGTCGAGAAAACCCGTCTGCATTGTGAGCTTATTAGAAGTTTGAATTTTTCTAAAAAAAGACTCGAAATTTTAATAAACCTATTTCCAAATATCCGTAATCATTAATGGGCAAATAATTAGTCAAGGTAAAAGATCAGCGACAAAATAACATCGCGACGCGACAAATTAACGTGACGTTAGAAAGGAATGAAGTATATACTGATAAAACATTCTACTTATCTTCAAATAGAAGGAATAAAAGCTAATTAAAAGTTAAGAATATATTAAAAATTAGGAGAATCACTGTCTTGGAAGTGAAACCACAAATACCACTATGATGAACAGATATTCGTTTTCAAGTTTTATATATTTTTAATTCTGCTTAAAAGTAATACATAAATAAAATTAAAAAGTATAAATAAAATAAAATAAAATAAAGATAATTCAAAGTAGAAAATAAAGATATTAAAGTAGAATTTTCCTTATCAAATATGCATAATTTAAGAGATAGAAAATCTTATATAGCATTAATATTCGTAATACTGTAACAATTATTGGATTATTATTATTTGGTTTTTAGTGCAGCATTTTTTTTTTTTACTTCTTGACTTTTTAATTTCTAACATCCATTTGTCTCCCAACGCATACATTTCCGCGGGTGCACCTATCAGATTATATAATCAAGAAAAGTACTTTTTTCAAATATTCTCAAAAATGTACGTAAAATAATGTACGAAATTTGTTCAATAAAAGATCAAAAAATACATGAATATAAATTACATGTAATTTTTATAATTAAAGATTAATTAAAATGTATGAACGTATTCAACTAAACTTTAACGTTACTAAATTAATTATATTCAAGGCTCAAAACAGTTTTTCGAGAATTGAATTTTAATTAAATTTAGTAATGTTATTTTATTAAATAGGTTTTCCTGCAATGATATTTTGATGTAACGTTTCTACTTATTAAATTTCATTTTGAATAAAAAAATGAGTCAGTTATCAAATTGTAAAGAGCAATACTTATTTTTGAAGGATAACAGCTGATCTACAGGGGTAACTGGATCAATTTGTCGTGAAAGCGTAACATACCTCCTCAATCCACTTGTCCCTTCATCTAACCCTCGGTAAACCACTCGCGTGGGTGAGCGTGCGCGAAAGCGAAAGAGTCCGTGTCACTTGTTGCTCACACTTCGACACTGATCCTCACACGCGACCCCCGATGCGACGTTAATGACGTTAACGACAGGCGAATCGGGACGAATGGGGAGGAGGGGAGAAAAAGGAGGAAAGGAGCTCACAAAGTGTGAAGAGAAGTCGCACTGACATCGCGTGAATCCGACAAACGTCACGCGCGCTCCTCCCTCGCAGCCACACAACGTGCACATCCGCATCCAACGCATCATCTGAGAGACTTACTTGAAGCGGATAGCGTCTCCTGATGAGGATGAGCGCTTTTCCTCTCGCGGGTGCGAGTCCCCGGCACCCGGCCGAGCGTTTTTCTCGGACACCCGCGACGACGGCAAGCGGCGGTCGCTTATTCCTGGATCACTCCCAACCCCCCGAGGCAGACAACGAGACGCACACACTCGGCTCGAGAATTCGACGAGCTCGCGCGAG